AAGGTGCTTTAGATTTAAAATTAAATAAGATGCATATCATTTGAGTTCTGTTATAATCTTAAAGTGGGAAGTTCAAATGCGAGGAGAGTATGTGGAATACTTACATCTTCCAGCACTTTTCTAGGAAATAAACGGATAAAAGTCGTTGCTCCTTCGCACTGCTCCGAAAACGTTTTTGTTTCCGTATATTTGCGGACTTGGAAACGTGGACGCTGAACAACGACAGATTGCGATTGACTTACAGGTGAAAGACTGTCGAAGTCTAGATGATCTAGTTCTTCATCGGCCCGCTTGGTTTTATGAAAACAATTGTAATTTCTCATATTCTAACGATAAAATGGCATCAGCTGAAAAGACTCTCTCAGGTCTAATAGCTACATTGTCAGACATAGAATTCACCAAATGTTTGTGGGAAAATCTGTCCAAACTTATATATACATATTGTAGTTATTATTATTAGCAAACGATCGCGTTCACTAACCTCAAGTATGTCCCCTTTCCTTGGATCGATGATACGGGTCACGCCATCCTTGCAGCACACAGCCAGTTTCGATCCGTTTGTATTGAAAGACAGGCTCGTAGCAATGTCCGGTAGCTTAATTGACTGAACGGGTGAGGGATTTTTGATGTCCCAAACGAAAATCATGTTGTCGGCGCCTGAAATTTAAGTTTTTTTAATAATTAGTTTTAATTACCTTGGGAGGCATGATCAGATCTTCCTACGTCTAAGCCCAACTAAGTTCAGTAAAAAAAAGTGATGATCGACGTAAAGGGGCCAAAAGAGAATACTTTTGTCTGTTTATGACCTAGAAATTAATTTCCAAAATGTTTGACGGGAAAAATGCATAAGTCGCTCTAATAATTTATTTTATGGGGACAGCAAGACCTTACATAAGTTGCTGGTATAAATTAAATACAGCCAACTTGATAAAGCTTGCATTTCGTTAGATAAAAATTGAGTTAAAAAGAAAACAAGCGTCTGTCATCTGAGTTTTACTTTATTCTAGTTGACTTTCGAGCGAGTTGCTTGGAGATTCCCGAAAAATGTATTCGTTATGGAGTAACAGCCGCGCTAGAACGGGACTCTCCTCAGTAAAGCTAACCCTCCCAGCCACTCAGTTACTGGCATTTATTTGTGCATTATACTTTTTGCTAGTAACAATTTCAAAAAAATTCAATCATGCTAATGCACACTTGATTCTTTAAGAAACTGAGGCGACAGCTGTTATCGAAAGGAGGAAGTAGGATAACTGAACTTTGCTTAACCGTTGATGTTTCAGATTGCGTAGTCAGCGCATTAGTCGGAACAAAAGTAATCAAGTACTAGTAATAGTAGAACTAGTATTAGTTCTTTATAATATGTAAAAGGCTGTGCAAATTAGGAGCTTGGAGGTAAAACAATTTTGTAAGCTGCTCGCTCTTAAACAAACAAATGTTGCCTGAATTTGTGGATATTTTGTGGATAATTCTTCTGCCAAGAAATATTGATCAGTCATGATTTTACAGTATAACTCCGTTCAGTTCAACTGAACATTCGAAGACAACAAAAGTGTTAACGCAAATTTGCTGCCATCGTCTAAATGTGTTCGATTAATATTAGGTCACAAAACTGCAACGCGTCCATACCTCAAGGTTAGTGGGAAGGCCATTACTCATTACGTTTCTTGAAAGCTACGTTTCACTGGTATACATGAGTACCCGATACTTGCAAAAGTCTCACAGCCATCCAACAAAACTAAAACATTCCTTTTCATTGGCTATTTGAAAAAACTGACAGCTTTCGTTGTTTTGTACTTTTAAAATACATAATTTTTTATCTGAATAATTTCAGTGAGTAGCACGGCGTGCACAAACCTGCCGAAACAAGCACATGTTCCGCAGTTGGATGCCATACTATCAAGTTGACGCGACGTTGATGACCAAGCAAAGTTGTAAGTGGATCATGCAGAGGTTCTTTTGGGATTCCACCATCAGGAATTTGCCAAATTTTTATAGTGCAATCTTCTGATGCGCTAGCAATCACTCTGTCATCGAAAGGACACCATTTAATATCGAGAACAGCGGCAGTATGACCCGTAACAAGAGGCAAATCCGGAGGAAGTCGGCCTGTCTAAAAAACATAAGACACCGAGAAAATTATTTTAAAAAAGTCCATAATTTTATATTTTTGTGCTGGATACTGAGGTTCATGTTTCTCGGTAAGCCATACTGAGGATTAATCCCCTAAATACTTTAGCTTTGATAAATCACTCACAAACTTTCTTATAACCCAATCTAGTAAATTAAAATCGAAACAACTCATAACACTACGCCGCCTACTCATAAATTTTGACACAGTTTAATGCCACCACTGCGCTTATTTGAAATCTACAGGCCCAAATAAATATACATTTTATACTAGCTTACTAAAGTCATGCATACTTACCTAACTTACGCGCTCATTCTAGTAGTATTACTCAGGAAAACTGAGATTTAAAGCATTTGACATAAGTGCAAAGAAGCTCGGCATGGTTGCATGAAGGACTTATTTCTCCAAAAAACCTTCAATTTGATTATTAAATGAAATGTACCCAAGAAAAGCAATCAAAAGGGAAGCACTGAAAAGGCATATTTCACTGGTGATTCAAGAAACGAGAATTTTATCCATTCAGAAACATCTACTTAAGCATGCGCATTGTAATTGAGATAGAAAACATAATATTGCAGATTTAAAGCTTTCTTATAAGGGGAAAAAACGTAAAGTGGGCCACACTTGGAATAAAAGCCACTAACACGGCCCTTGAAACTTTTTAATTGGATTCGTTTTTTAAAAAAAATATTTGTGCCAGGGAACCAAAAACGGAATCCTTTGCGTTGCACTCACCATCCGAGGAAATTCTCTTAAGCCGGTAAATTCGCCCTATGTTCTTAAACTCGTTGTCCTACGTATGTCCTTTGTTAGACCTACGCAATCGATACCTTTAGATGGACCATTTATTAAATTGGCCTGTTCATGATTTTCCTTCAGTATGCGTTTGCTTACCAGGAAATTGATTACAATTGCATCAGGTTTCACATATCTGTAAGAGTTAATAATTGGGGTTTAAAAGAATGGTAAAAAGGTAAAAGTCCTAGACAGGGACTTGTGTAATTATATCTGGCAAAATGTACTTAGGTTCGCAAAGTTGACTGTTGTGGGATGCAAGGCTGAAAACTTGACGTAGCTCACCGGAACCGGTTTGATTACTACTGATAGTCTGGACAACTCGATAGGCTCTGCATTTTCGAATCGCCTACTGTCACTATCGATCAGATTTCTGAATGGATGTCCGAACTTGCCAGCCTTAGGTTGAGCACTGTTTTCTCGTTCGCTGCCTTAGCCCTTGTTTAGATATTAGAAAGGTGTAGCGTGCAAACATAAGCACATTAGCTGAGAATTCTCATGTTTGACCAGGCTCCCCAAATTGTCGCCTTCATCACTTTGGTAGACCACGAAGTTAGCTTTAGGACAAACAAATAATAATGGGAATTGGTGAGGAAACAGTTTGAAAACCGCTGGTTTCCTTAATTTCTCTCA